TTTCACTCATCTCTGTCTTCAATATTCTCTTCATGTTTAAAAGTCATTTTTAACTCATTAGTGGGGACGAGCAAATAAGTCAGTTTGGGTTTCTCTCAGTTTCTCATTTTTTCCCCAGTCTTTAACTTCACTTCTCCTCATTCCCACATCAGTTTGCATTGTTGCTAATGTCCTCATGAAAATACACCAGCATTTTAGTTCAAGAATATCCTACTATGCACACGGTTTGTATGGAATTTTGCCTACCAAGTATATTTTTTGCAAAGTAATTGTCTCTACCCTAATGCATTTTGTAGGGATCAGGTGGCGCTGTGGTCTAAACCACAGAGCCTAGGGCTTGCTGATCAGAAGGTCAGTGGTTCAAATCCCTGCGACGGGGTGAGCTCCCAGCTCCTGCCCACCTAGCAGCTCAAAAGCACATCAAGTGCAAGTAGATAACTAGGTACTGCTCCGGTGGGAAGGTAAATGGTGTTTCTGTGTGCTGCTCTGGTAAGCCTTTGTAAGCCTACCAGTAAGTCTTTCTTTCCTCCAGGGTGGCAGGACAACATTCTCGAGGAGCACCCCAAGCAAACCAAATGCCCCATATCCAAGAGGTCTCAGGGCAATTCATCCATGGGGATGAAACTGTACACCCGCCTTTGCTGCAGACCACAAACTCTTCCAATGGCAGCTTGGCCTGTGTTCAGCAGTGGCATCATTGCTATAGAGATAGAAAATTACGAGTGGGGCGGGGGATCTTACAGGACTCTGTCTGTCGCAAATCCTCAGCCTGTGAGCTCAGCACAGAGACCCAAGAATTTCCTTCTATTGTCCGAGCACACTCTAAAGGGATGTCACCTTTGCCTTTATATAGATGCCGAGGCATTGCCTTCTTTATTTCTTTTAAAACAATTTTCCTTTTGAGATGTATTTATATATCATCGCTCAGTGTAGGAAAGTGTTTCTCAAACTTTTGGCATTTGCCCCCCTCCACCTTTCCTAACCTTATTGCATATTCTGCCTCCCCAACAGTGCAGCATTTGTTCCACATCAGTGTGCATGGAGTCACATGCATACAAACTGCAACTATTGTGTAAAGGAGCAGAACGGAATGGAAGAAGACGCCTCTCCTGAAACCACGTGCATGGGGACACCATTAGAACACACCAGGAGCTCTTCCCAAATTATGTTGGGCCAATGGGGGCTGCAAACCCAAAAGAGCGGCCCAGGTGTTAATCTAGTCTACTATCCTGCTGCCCAGCAAGGCCAAGTAGATGGCTCCTGGAAGCACACAAGCAGCATGGGAAGACAATAACTCTTCAGCAACTACAATTATGCAGCATTTAGACCAGAGACTGCTCCCGTATAGCCAGCATGACTAACATCTATTAGCAGACCTAATTTCCACAAGTTTGCCCCCTGTCATTGAATCCTCATTTATTTATCATGGCTAAATTAACCTACATATGCATATATTTCAACTCTGCTGATATACCAGAGACAGACACTGTTTTTGTCATTTGGGGTGCCTTGTTCACATGTTGTTATTTTGAATTGCTAGGGGTCATACACACAGGCACACACATCTTATTTGAATGCACAGGCATATAAATGCATGGAAATCAACAGAAAGGCACCATGTATCTATCATCCAGTTTGCCATTATACATGCTGGATGCTGAGGCCTATATTGAACCACAGTAGCATATGCCAGACAAATAGTGTCTGCCCCAAGGTGCAAATGTAATTGTGACTTTATATCAATGGAAAACGGGCTGCAGCAGACTTAACAAATACAGCATGACACAGATAGAGCCCTCAGCAGTGTGTTCTTAGCAGGGGCTTCAGGGTAAGCTTTCAGGGATGAAGATAGGGGTTTAAAAAGTGTGACATGTTGGAGAGTATGTTCATGACTTCACGAAAGAAGGGAGAAAGGCTCAACTTGTCTCAGGATCCTGTCCCTTCCTGGAACTTAAGCATTTTCAAATATTCTGCACATGCCCACAAAGAGGGCCTGCCCCACAATTTGAAAACACCAGGACTCACTCTATGGAAGCTAAAACTACTGAGATTTTTTTGAAGGAATTGGATTTTGCGGGTGTTGTCCCTGATTACCTACAAACCACATAATGAATAACTAGATGCAGAATTCAGGTCATTCTCATGTGATTCCATTTGAGGAGGGCAAGACAGTGCACACACTTGGCCCCGCTCCTTTCACTGCATTCCCAATAGCCTATCCATGCGTTCAAGTGGAAGGTCTTTTTATCTAGAAAAGCCAGCTCCACTTACATTACAGGATCCTATTTATGAAAGATTCTACTCTGAACAGGGAGTTGACAAGAGAAGAACTTCAGCTCAAATGCACAGACAGCTGCAGTGATGAGCCATGGGGAATGCAATTGGGGGGGCGCAAAGCAGGGCACACACCCTCCCTATCACTGAAATTGCATCTGGAGGAACAACTGAATCTCATAACTATATACAGTATGTGTGTTCCCCCCTTATGGGTACTTACAAGGCTATCCTTGAAGGTTTGTGGAACTAGTAGAATCTCAGAAGCCACAGTGATAATTGGATAAGATTTCCTGGGATGGATGTGCAGGGCTCAACTGAGCGCCACACTCCACTCCAAGGAAATGAAACTGGTTAACAGCATACACAAATATCTCAGTGAGCACAAGTCAGTGTTGACATTCTAAGCATTCAAGAGTCCAGATCCTGTGATTTAAGTGGACATTTGAGTCCCGTCTTGAAGTGGACAGATCAGTCAGTAGAGCATGAGACTCTTAACCTCAGGGTTGTGGGTTAGAGCCCCACATGGGCACTGCAGGGGGTTGGACTAGATGATCCTCATGCTACCTTCCAACTCTACAATTCTATGATTCCTGGGTCCATTTACCATGGCCTCCTCTCAAGGCTGGAGTGAAGACAGCAGACCATAATTGAGTGGAAGGGTCATAACTAATAAGAATCTGCCACGGATCTGCAAGTATCACCATATTATCTAACATTCTTCATATCCATGCAAGCATCCTATATCTTAAGGATACAACTCGAAAAACTAGTCACTGTCTCACAATATGGATGACACCATTCTGGATCTACAGCTTTCACCTGCTCACATTAACAGGAGAGCCAAGGGAATCCTGTCTGCACCACACTACCTGGGAAGCATTTGATGGGGTAAATCCTCTAGGGCCCAAGGAGAGCATTCCTCCCACATCCCCTTGAGCTAGCTGGTCTTGAAAAGTAGGTTAGGAAACTGACTCTCCAGGTGTCTCAAAGTGTTCATAACTCCTGCCCTCGCTCACACTCCCTGCTAGTTGTGACTAGTCTCAATTGACTAGTGTCAATTCAATTATCCAATCAGTCAACTCTTGACACATCACTCCCTAACAGTATGGAGTAGACCAGTGGTGGGGAATCTGTACCTCTCAGCTGATTGAACTACAAGTTCCAATATCCCTGAGTATAGGCTAAGCTGACTGGGACTAATGGGAGTTGGAGTCCAGCAACATCAGGAGGGCCACCGTACCAAATGAAGGAATCAAATCCAGAAATGTGACTGACTAACCCCACACTACTGGCCTGGGAAAGTTGGGCGGGTTGCCCCAGTGGATCTGAAAACCCAGGCATTTGGTAGAACCACATTATGTAGGCATGCTTCTCCCTCATGTCCCCATTCTGACTTCTTCTGGCAGAGATTCAACATTCTGCCCATTAGTCCACACTAATTTTATATAATGTACCCACCCCAGCCCTGTACCAAATCCAGCAGCAGTGTATGCTGGGCATCCAAACATTGCGTGTTGAGTCCCACAAGCCACCCCCCTTCCAAAAAAGTCACACATCACACATAAATTTTTGTTTAGGTTATTGGCATAATTTTTGGCCACAACTTTATTCAAAATACAAAAATGTGAGTGGTTGCTTAGGCATTGGTTATGACTATCTGTCCATGCCCAGGGACAGAGCTGGCACTTCCGGATTCCAGCGGAAGCCAGCGTGGGAAACAAGTATTGGGGAGAAGATGAAGCTGGGTACCAGTCCATCACTTCTCACCCTCATGTTCCGGTGGGGCTTGCACGGCCCAGGTCCGACTCCGGGGACAAGGACGAAAAGAATGGCAAGCCCCTGGATTCCTTTAACGGAATTCCCTTTTTCGCACACCATTGGAGGGGTAGGCACTTACCCCTCCTCCAACCATTTTAACCAATGCCTAACCGCCAACCTTACAAGTTGTGACGTTTTGCTACGCAGTAGGCAAAAACCAAATGGCACCAGCCAATCAGCCAAATGGCAAAATTCCTACCAGGCCCCCGCACCAAGGCGGACGACCCCATGACAGGCATAGCAAGGTCAAATGATCCAGGACAAACCCCCCCTTAATAAAAGGGAGGGTGGGCGGGTGATCCGGTGCAAAAAGGCCAAGAGGACGACCCACGTTGGGCGTCCTATATTTATGGCCTCTGACCCCTCCTTCCAAATTCGCAACATCCAAAACTCCCCAGTAACCAAATTAACCATTGAGGTCCCGGTTAGCCAAATTGCCATTCACTCAAGGTGGCTTGCATTCCCAACCGCAACACGTGCTCTCATTCAGGGAGAACACGCTTTGCGTGTTGAGTCCCACAAGCCACCCCCCTTCCAAAAAAGTCACACATCACACATAAATTTTTGTTTAGGTTATTGGCATAATTTTTGGCCACAACTTTATTCAAAATACAAAAATGTGAGTGGTTGCTTAGGCATTGGTTATGACTATCTGTCCATGCCCAGGGACAGAGCTGGCACTTCCGGATTCCAGCGGAAGCCAGCGTGGGAAACAAGTATTGGAGAGAAGATGAAGCTGGGTACCAGTCCATCACTTCTCACCCTCATGTTCCGGTGGGGCTTGCACGGCCCAGGTCCGACTCCGGGGACAAGGACGAAAAGAATGGCAAGCCCCTGGATTCCTTTAACGGAATTCCCTTTTTCGCACACCATTGGAGGGGTAGGCACTTACCCCCCCTCCAACCATTTTAACCAATGCCTAACCGCCATGGAGCCCCAAGCTCACCGCCAAACCACTCACAGCCCCAGCCAAGACTTCAGCTTAGCCACCACCGCACCTAGCCAAGCCTCATTTCCCAAGGCAGAAAGGTGCACGCCATCCTCCCTGTAGAATGATTCAGCCTGAAACTGAATCCCAGGATGGGAAATAACATCACCGCCCAGCTCCAAAACCTTTTTGGCCACAGCAGAATTGACACGTTTCCTGGCCCTGTCAGTGGCAATTGGGCAGCGACTACCTTTCCATATACGTCGTTGCAGGAGCTTTGACCAAAAAATCTTCGCTGACGGCACCAATGACCGCAGCACCTCGAGATCACCCACTATTGCGGCACGTAACGACAAACAGTCCATGGAAACCAGATCATTCTCTCCCAGCTGTACCACAATAGCCGTGGGCGGCCCTTCAATAAGTAACTGCCTCCGGATCAGTGGCAGGAACTCCGGCCAGCGCATTCCACGTCTGGATAGCCACGATATGCACACGTGTGGTGGAAGGCCGAGACCTGGACCCAAACCGGACTGCCTGGCTCCGACACCAGCCCAATGCACGATGCTGTGCCCCACCAGCCAGATGCGAACGGCCGCCAAACCTGGGTAAACAAGTAAAAGATGTAAGAATACCGAATTGTTACCGTACATATCCCCTGAATGCGTCTGATTTCCAGCGACCCAATTCCTTTATTCTGTTGGCAGACAGGCCCCAGTGCGCTGCTGTCGTGGCTGCCCCGATCCTAAAGGAATGGGGGGCGAAACCGTCAGCTGAATCCCCACCAGCCTTGATCGCTTTTCGCATTACCATTGCGAACTGGTGTCTGGAAAGGGGCAACCCATTCTCATGCCGCAAAAGAGGACCATCCCCTGGGGAACGAACAGCCAGGTACCTTCTGACATCTTTTACCGGGCAAGGGCCCGCCTCCCCCGTGGCAGGGAGACGAATAAGGGCCCCCCTGCCCCTCTGATCCGTTTTTGAGCTCCTGATAGTGAGCCTCAATTCCGACGGGGATAATTGCGCATCCTGGAGCAACAGACCCCTGGAGCGACCGTCCCCATGAGCCTCCAAGAGGAGCTCACCCACCCTTAAAGCTCCGAAAAAAGCCATAGAAAATGCTGCCGAAAAAAGGCGAGCCTCATACCCGGACCAGCATACATGCCGCAAGGCTTTGCGCATCCTACACAGCAAATCGAATGTAATTGGGCGCCGGGTTGCTGGCTGGGGAGGACAAAGCCTACCCCATCCTTCCAGGGCCTTACGCACGACAAACTTCGCGCAAGGATCCTTGTCAAAATATGATTTACAGAAAAAGGCTATCGCCGCTGCCTGGATCCTAATTGTCTTAGCAGCACGTCCCAACCGGAACAGGTGCGCCAAATATTCCAGCACCTGAGAAGTAGAGGGAGAGACCCTCAATTCAACCCTAGCTGACTGATGTGTAAAGGCCAAAAAATCAGTCCAAGCTTTAGTGTACGACCTGAGGGTAGAAGGGGAAATAGATGCCGCTACTCCCTGAAAAACTAATTGCTGCCAAGGTTCCAGAGATGATCCGGGAAATATTCCGGACGTTTTCGAGCCTCTGGAACCAGAAGTCTGAACCGCTCCATCTGAAAACGGGACAGAGCATCAGCAATTTCGTTAGACACCCCTGGTATGAAACGTGCCGAAAACACTATGTTATAACGTAAACAATGTAAAACAAAGGCCCGCAAAAGGGCTGACACCCTGGGAGAGCGTGAAGACAGTTTGGCCAGCACGTTCACCACCGCCTGGTTATCGGTCCAGAAGCAAACACGACGGTCCCTGAACTCATCGACCCACAAGTGCACTGCCACTGCAATGGGGAAAAACTCAAGAAAAGTTAGGTCCCGCGTAATCGCTTCACCCTGCCAAGCAGGCGGCCAACGCATGGCGCACCATCTGCCTTTCCAATACAACCCAAAACCCAGGGAACCTGCAGCATCTGATTGCACTTGGAAGTCATTATGCAAGTTCAACGTGTCTTGCCATAATGACACTCCATTGAATTCCCTTAGGAATTCCAGCCAAATGTTAAGATCAGCCTTCACCCCACTGGAGAGCCTAACCCGATGATGTGGTGCTTTCAGCCCCACGGTGAGTCGAGCCAGGCGTGAACAGAAAGGGCGCCCAGGGGCCACCACCCTGCATGCGAAATTTAGGTGACCTAAAAGCGACTGGAGTTGCAATAGTGACACCTTCCTCAATGGGAGCAATTCCTCTATAACTTTCTGCAAAGCAACCAGCTTATCCTTTGGCAAGCTGGAAGTCTGGGACACCGTATCCAGTAGGATACCCAAATATGTAAGCCGGGTCGAAGGACCCTCAGTCTTCTCCGCTGCGAGCGGAACCCCCAATTCCTGCGTAAGGTCGGCAAAGGCCTGCAGCAGCACCGAGCAATTGCCGGTATCGCAGGCCGAGGCCAATAAAAAATCATCCAAATAATGAGTGACTCCGCCCAGTCCTGTTTTCTGTTTGAGGGCCCACTCCAAAAAGGTGCTGAAAGATTCAAAAGCAGCACACGCTATTGAACAGCCCATAGGCATGGCTTTGTCAAAGTAAAATTTGCCCTCAAACTGGAAACCCAGGAGCCAAAAATCCTCCGGGTGAATTGGCAATAAACGAAAAGCCGATTCAATATCGCATTTTGCCAATAAAGCAGCCTGGCCAAACTTCCGAATCATTTTGATTGCGTGATCAAGCGAGGCATACTTTACAGAGCAAAGTTCCGGAGGAATAACATCGTTGACTGAAGTACCCCTAGGATGCGATAAATTATGAATCAAACGAAATTCACCTGGGGCTTTCTTTGGCACGATACCCAATGGGGATACATGCAAATTACGAAAAGGAGGGACACTAAAAGGGCCAGCCATACGATGCTTAGCCACCTCCTTTGCAATCTTTTTTCTGACAATTTCAGGAAGCTCACGAACTGATTTCTGATTAGAAGGATTCCGTGCCACGGGAGACATGGCTACTGGAATCCGAAAGCCCAAAGAAAAACCATCACTTAAATAACACGCCGCCTCCTTATTGGGATAAGACTGCAACCAAACTTGAAGGGCCGGCAGGCGTACAGGAGTATGAGCCAAGGTGGTCAAAACTCTATTTGCCTGTTCCTGAGGTTGAGGGGAGTGGGGCTGACTTAGGGGGCTGCTGAGAACCCCCTCTTCCCCCACGAAAGGGCCGCCGACCACCGAAACAAGAGGCAGCCGAATGCGACCCATTGCACTTCTCACACACGTGAGCAAATCTGCACGTTGGACGCTGACAGGAGCCCTTATTAAAATCCCAGCAGAGCAGACGACGGCCAGGTCTAAAAGCAGAAATCCTAGATTTCTGCTGATCCGGCGCCTTTTTATCAATCAGCGGGGCCACGTGGGTGGTCCACACATCAAGATCTTTTCGATCCCAGCGTGCCGAAGGGATCTTGGCAGCACGGCGCCTGAAATTTTCGTCATATTTTATCGCAGCTTTTTCTCCAGCCTTACTGAATGCGGAGCGCACCGTGGTTAGATAGACCATCAAATGCAAGGATCTCCGCGGGTAAGCTGCCATAACTACACCAGCAAAGACCTGGAAACAATCGAGCCAACGTTCGAAAGTCCTGTCTGCGGTGGCTATCCCAGGGCGCTTCCTGGAGGAAGAACTTCCCTTCTCCTGATCTTCCGAAGGTGGGATCAATTTAAACATGTCTACGTAGCGACCATTTAAAATCCTGGATCGCAGTTTTGTTGACAAATGCGAGCCTGGTATGATGTCCCTGGCAGAATTGGTTGAGACTTTAACGTCGGGAACCAACACGCCATCCCTACACTCCTGGACTGCCCCGTATTTTGCCCTGTGAGTGTTGGCCCTTCGTTCCCAAGCCCACTTCGGAAGCCCCGAAGCCGATTCGCCAAAACCCCAATAAAGTTCCATGTGATTGCCCTCATCATCAGAACTAGAAGAGGATGTACCCGAGTAAGAAGACGACGATTCATCCCTCCTCCGTTTAGCGCGCCTCCGGGATGACCTCCTGTGACGGCGCTTCCTTCCCGAAGACTTCCTGGCAGGAACTGGAAGGCTGTCCTCAATGGAAGACTCGGATTCAGGATTTTCCTGGGATGGGGCTGAAACAGACTGCAAAGAGACCACACGTGAGAGACCAGAACCCGAGGCCGCCTCCGCAGAAGGTTGGGTGGGCGTACGCCGGCGAGTGGAAACAGCTGAAGGGCCACTTTTTGCTGAGGCCCTCCTGGTGGAACGGCCTGACCTCCGTGACCGGCCCCGGACTGCAGGTAAGTCAGGGGATTGGGTTAACTGGGGGTTTGCAATCAAACTCCCCAATGATGACCCATCTCTCCCATCTTCGCTAGATGATGGTGACCCTGGAGGAGACGCCCTAGCCGCAGGAGGCGGCCTTCGGGACGTAGATGGTTGGGCGGAACAATGCTGCAGAAAACCATCCATTTCAGCTGCGAAGCGTGAAAGGGCCGCTGGATCACCGGCCATACTTGCCACCAAGGATTGCACCCGCCCTGTTGGTTGGACCGAAGTGGGCGAGCGGAGCGCCTGGGATGGGCCTCTAATAGGCCTTTTTGAGGTGGTGGCAGGTCCCGGGCGAGCAGATACCTTCTTTGGAGCCATGCCTGCTAGTTGGGAATAGAACACAATCAAATAACTCTGCACTATAACCACAGTCAAAAGGCGGCTATCAAAATTTTATTAAACTAACTGCTGCTGGCCACGCACCATCAAACACAACAACCTCAATGGCAGATCAGCACGTTCCAAGGAATAAATTAAAATTGGAATGTCAGCAACTTCAAGGAGAAAATAAACTAAAACAATTAAATCAATACAGAAAACCAAATAAAATTAAAATCAATTAATATTAAAATAAACAAAATATAAAACCAATTAATAAGTAAAATTAAAATTCGAGATAAATGAACTATAAATTATAATAAATTATGCTAAAAAAAAAAAACTGAAATAAATAATAGACCAAGAATGAAATGCCAAGCTTTTAACCGAATTAACTGTCTTTCCAGCTAACAGTCTAGCTATCCAGCAATCAACTTGGCTATAATAAATTGGCCGCTTTAAACAAATATATTGAGCGACCTTGCACCTGCTAAGGCCAGCCAGCAGGGGGCCCCCTCACTGTACAGGCCCAAATAGCTGGGTCAGCCAGGCAATCAAATAAAAGGAGGCGCAGTACCGGTTTCGCCACTGGGGGAGCCCAAGCGCAGCCCAGGCGCAGTTAGAGCAAAAGGCCACAAGAGGGATTAGGCAGCAGCAAAGCGCCGGCAGGCACTCACCAAGCCGCGCCGCGCGCAAAAAACAAAATGGAGGGCCTCCGCCTGATTGCGCAGCAGATTTCCTTCACAGGAAGGCAAGGCCGCGCTGGCAGGGCTAGGGGGCCCTGTGCAGGCCGCTGCGCGCTGCGCGAGGAGCGCGCAGCGAAGACGCTCCAAGAGGCACCCAGTAGAATCGAAGGGAAGGCGCCCGCTGCGCCGCCGCCAAGCAGGCCAGCCGCACGCACCGGGAAGGAGCGGGATGGCGGCAACGGCCTACTCGCCGCGCCGCGTCCCAGCGAGCACCCCCCACGGACGCAGGGAGCCCACCAGGTAAGCGATCCCCCTGCGCGCTGGTGAGGGGAATGGGGGTGGGGGTTGGGGGGGTGGGGGGCGGCCGGGCCTCGCGGCAGCAGCCGCAAAGCTACCCAAGAAATGCGGGGCGCTCCCGCGGCCTGGATAGGAGGGCTGCGACCTCTCCTCGGTTAAACCTCAGGCCGAGGGTGCCCGGGCCCGGAGCGACCAGGAGGCAACGCCTCCCAGGGCCGGGGGGGGGGAACCCCACCCTCAACCAAGCTCCCTTCCCCCCCGGGAAAAATAAAATTAAAATTCAGATAATAATAAATTAAAAATTGGAAAGATGGGTATTTAAGCAGGGAAGGGAAGGCAAAGGGGACGGAGGGAGAAGAAGGGAAAGATGCAGGGCAAGGGCAGAGGGGCCTAAGGGACAAGCAGAGAGCAATTAAAATCTAACAGGGCCTCATATACAACCGTCTCCAGATGCGAACTGCTCCTTGATCCGGTGCAAAAAGGCCAAGAGGACGACCCACGTTGGGCGTCCTATATTTATGGCCTCTGACCCCTCCTTCCAAATTCGCAACATCCAAAACTCCCCAGTAACCAAATTAACCATTGAGGTCCCGGTTAGCCAAATTGCCATTCACTCAAGGTGGCTTGCATTCCCAACCGCAACACGTGCTCTCATTCAGGGAGAACACGCTTTGCCAATTTTGTACCAACATTATGAAGTCTGAGAATATCCTTAACCGGTGGCTGTATTGCCAGAACATGTTAGCAGTCACAGATCATTACTCTATCACTCTGCTCATTAGACTGATGAAGACTGAGGGGGGGGGGGAAATAATCAGATTCTGCTATCACAATGGCACCATCTGCCTCCTTTGCACTACTTTCAAAGACAGCTATTTTTGTTTCAATAATGACATTTATGAAGCAAGGCACACTTTCTCATTTTTTTAAACAAAAATCTGTTCTTTTTAAACAGAGCTCTCACCTGTTTTATATATTATTTAAACCAGGATTTCTCATCTCTTTTTTTCTGTTCTCCCCCCTCCCTTTTCCAGAACAAGAAATAACTGCAGGGTTGATGACAAGTCCTTGAGATAAAGCTGGTGAGTTACGATAACAAGAGTCACCCTAAAATGTTTGAATTTTGGCTCCTTTGGGAGAAGGGAAGATAGGATGTGGAACCCCCTTGTGGGTGTTTCAGCTGTTTAACCAATGGGCTGCAAAGCATTGTTACTAATATTATTTGGAATGTTGGCCAAATTATTTAAACAATCGAGATTTTTAAGCAATCCATCATCTTATAAATTAGAAATAATTTGTTCTGGGAAGACAAATTATTATTACTATTTTTAAAGATTCACCTCTCCCTAGAAAGTCAGGATGACAATTCTTTTCCCTGGTAAAATTGCATTCAGAGGTTTTGTATGGCAAGCTCCCTCCACTTCCACCTCCAAGAAGCTTGAGCTGTTGATAAGCTGTGATTTGCAGTACAATTTCAGAGTGCTTGTATGCTTAAATAAATAAATGTCAATGCCTTTATCCTCACTGGAGGAGATGACCAAGTGGACAAGAAAAGCATCACTTCTGCATAGGTCTAATAATAATAATAATAATAATAATAATAATAATAATAATACATATACCACATTCATTTTAGACCAGTTTTTCCTTTTAAGCTATCCATCTGTCTCTGTAAGATAATCCCTGGTATACCATTTATAATAGGGATGGGGAATTTGTAGCCTTCCAGAAATTGCTGGATTATGACTTCCATTATCCCTGACCATTGGTCACTCTGGCTGTCCAAAACACCAGACATGCATAGGATAGCAGTGTTCCTTTCCATTTGTTTTTATAGTCAATACAAGCAGGGCTGGTGCAGCCATTAGGTGGCGGCCCTGCGGGTGCCCTGCCTGGCTGTCTACCTCTGCTGGTGGCAGCATCATGGGCAGTGCAGGCAATATCAGTGGCAGAGTGGCACCTCCTGTTTCACCACAAGTGGTGAATCGGGATGTGCCACCCCTAAACACAGCCTTCCAACCAATAGTGGCTGACCTTTGGCTTTCCAACTGCTGCTGGACTACAAACACCATCAGCCTTGACCTGAGGGTAATGGGAGTTGGGAGAGATGCAACAACTAAAGGTGAACAGGTTCCCCACCTTTGCCGCAGGACCTGTACGTATCTTGACTAAACACCTCCTGAAACATGGGTCAAGATGGTACCCTTGATTGGAAGGAATGATAGAAAACCCACGTTGACAAGATGAATTGCTACTACTCTGAGAACTACTGAAGAACATTGGAGTGAAGTGTGTGTATGTGTGCCAGTGTGGTGTAGTGGTTAGGAGTGGTAGACTCGTAATCTGTTGAACCAGGTTCGCATCTCCGCTCCTCCACATGCAGCTGCTGAGTGACCTTGGGCTAGTCACACTTCTTTGAAGTCTCTCAGCCCCACTCAGCTCACAGAGTGTTTGCTGTGGGAGAGAAAGGGAAAGGAGAATGTTAGCCACTTTGAGACTCCTTCAGGTAGTGATAAAGCAGTAAATCAAATCCAAACTATTCTTCTTCTTCTCCTCCTCCTCTGTGTGTGGAGGGGGTCTACTGGCCTGGAACTGAAAGGACAGAGAGGAAGGATTCACATACACAGAGAAAGCAAAATGAATCAAGCTTTTTAATGCACTCTAAACATGACAGCAATTGGCCCCTGTGGAATCTTGGAGAAGCTTGACGGCCGAGAGCTATTTAAACCAGCAATAGTCTCAGCAGTGTAGCATCTTCATACTTATGAAGGGAGGGGGGAATTACTCTGCCCAGAGAAATACAAAACAGCAGGCAGCCGCGGAAAGAACTTGCAATGGGCAACGCAAACCATTACCCAGATTATGCATCCTTATTATTTTACTTTGATAGCCTTGCTCATCTCCCACAGGCTCAGCCAAACCTTTCACAATCTTAATATAATCGTATTAAAATGGACGTGGAATCAAATATAAGTAAACAGCAAAAACAAAAACCCATAAATATTCCTCAGGTTAAACATCCCCCTTGTATCATGCATCCTTCCTGCTGTGAGACTCTCCTGTATCTCCTGCTTGTCAGGATGGAAGAATGAGAGGGATATGTGAATGTATGGAAAAACTAGGCAGCTATACAATGACAAAGTGTGCGACTGTTGCTTAACCCGTCTGTGCCTCTGAGCCAGAAAGCTTTCCTCCCACCTCTGCTCTATGCCACATGGCATGTGGGTTGGATGGGGAAAAGGCCTTTGTGGGACAGATCCAGATCCACAGACTTTCTATTGATTACCCTGTGGAGAAAATAGCCTTGAGAGTGGCTGGGGAAACCCAGCCAGATGGGCGGGGTATAAATAATAAATTATGATGATGATGATCAAGAGATTCTTTTGACATAGCTTCTCTGCTAATCTCCTTATTTTTCTGCGTTTTTTAGAAGTGCAGTTAGATAATTTTAGACCCCGGATTTAATTGCCATATGTACCTCCCTACCCATTATAAACAATTGGTGAGTCTCACTTCTCTCAGGTCACATTCAAACCAGCACTATTATGCTCCTTTAAGCAGCCACAAGTTTCCGCCCAAGAATCCTGGGAACTGTAGTTTGTTAAGGTGGTGAGAGTTGTTCGGAGGCCCCTCTTCCCTGCCCAGAGAGCCCAAGTCCTGTCCTGTCCTGGTGGTACCAGAAACGGTGTACAGAAAGTACCTGAACAAAGCAGCTAAACCATAGAATGCTCATCTCAGTCTGCATCCTTCCTTCTGATGGGTCCCCTTGTCCCCTATCACCCCGTATTTAGATTTTGTTTCTTTGATATGAAGCCTGCATGTTGTATTGCTGGGAGCACTTCCACTTTCACTCAGAAAACTGATATGAAAAATAAAAGCAAACAGAAATTAGGAAATAAAAGAACTTTTTACTGCAGAGGGAAAGAGACCAGCGGGCTCTTATTTCCCCCTGTTCCCTCATAGAGCTATTTTCCCTCACTGGTACAAGATGCTGCACTTTCTATTCATTTCCTGGCA